AGAGCCACTGTGGTATATTGGCCTCTGTCTAAGTCACTAGCAGGCAATTGGTTGGACTAAAGGATCTCTTTTATGATCATTTGATCTTTTAGAGCCCCTAAAAATACTGTCTGTAGGAGACTACCAACTTTGTACCTATGACTCTACATTTTGTATAAGAAGGGAAAATCAATGTTATTAAATTGAAGGTAACATTTAACTTAATGTTTGCCATTAATCTCTTACTGGGTTTGCCACTGAAAACAGTGTGGAAATTTAAATGTTACGAAGTCTGAGATTTGCTTAAAAATAATTGGAGTTGGGGTTCCTGGGTGGCTCAGTTGGTTAAGCATCCAACTCTTGATCTCAGCTCAGGTCTTGATCTCAGGGTTGTGAGCTCAAGCTGCATATTAAACCCAGTGTGGCACCTACTAAACAAACAAACAAATAATTAGAGTTGAAGAAAGTGAATGGAGATATAGAAAAAGCAAGATTGGCCATGAGTTGATAATTATTGAAGATGTGTGATGAGTTGACAATTGTTGAATCAGGTAGGTTCATTATATTATTCCCTTACTCTTGTATATGTTTGACACTTTTCATGATTAAAAGTTTTTTTAAAAAATGCAGAGATTGTATTTGATGAAAAATAATTTAACATTTTGCTCTATATCTGATTTTACCAGGGTTAATATCCCAAGTGAAATTTGTGGCATGCATTGCTAATGATGTCAGTATTCCATGACCAAGACATATACTCTTTGACTTGAGTCATGAGGGAAAGATGTGTTCCTTCTTTAAAATACTTTTTGAGTAGTGAATAGTGAGATGTAATAAATAAAAACATGTACTCTATTTAAAACAAGATTTCAAGTCTGTGTCACATTTTTTTCATCTACCACAACAAATATTTTTTATCACAGATTGATTTTCTGTGAAGTAGAACTACATTTGTGCACTCTTGAGATCTGTGAACTCAGAATTTTTTAAAAAAATACAGTACTTTTTTAAAAAAAAATCCCTGGTTGTTTTCTTTCTTTCTGTTTTTCCAAATGCTAGTTTCTTTTTGATGTTAAAACAATACATTACAAAAGAGAAAATTTTAAATATAGAAAATGTTAAAGAAGGAAAATGTTACCTGCAATCTATAATCCAGAAATAGCAAACTTTGCACTATTCCTTAGCACTACTCTGAAAGTAGGGAGCCATCAGCCACATTGTACCGCAAAGGACCCCCAGCCTCAACAAAGACGTCCTTGCCCCAAGTATGACATATAAGAGCAGAGCTGTATGAGCACTATCTTGTGTACGATACTCATAGATGAGTATGGCAGTAGGCCCTCAGGGTGCTCTGTTGTCAAAAGAGATCTCAGGACTTTTGAATAACCAGTGGATGCTTAGCCTCAGTAATGAATGACAGTGAATTTCTCTTATTGTACAAAAGTCTTCTTGCATTTAGGAAATTCTTGCTTCACATGTGTTTGTTAGAGGATGATCCCATTTACTCTGGTAGAGGACAAAAGAAGATAGGAATGGTGAAAAGGATTCAGGAGTTCAGTTTTTTTTGTTTTTTAAAGATTTTATTTATTTATTTGACAGAGAGAGAGAGCACGAGAGCAGGAACACAAGTAGGGAGAGTGGAAGAGGAAGAAGCAGGCTTCCTGCCGAGCAGGGAGCCCAATATGGGACTCGATCCCAGGACCCTGGGATCATGACCTGAGCCGAAGGCAGACGCTTAATGACTGAGCAGGTGCCCAGGCGCCCAGGAGTTCAGTTTTGATAGTGTTGAATTTGAGGTATCTTTAACATACCTAAGTGGGATGTCTAGCAGGCAGTTGAGGAGGGTAAAAATTGACCAGGGTTAGTGAACAGAGGAGGGTTTTTTTTCCGGCTGAGTTACAGCATAAGTGAGGTCACAAAGGAAAAGATATGAGGAACTATTAGTAGATCTTAAGGATCTATTGAGAGTTCACATTGATGAGTAAATACTACCAAAATATGTAAAACATGTTATGACATGATGATATGCAGTGATATCTTATGATATACAGTGATTGTGTTCTTGATTTATCATCATTTAAAAAAATGGTAACAAAGGGCACTGCATATTCTTAACCAAGGAGCTATAGAATGAGATTGTTGAAAAAATTTCTTATAACCTAGCCATTACCCTAAACTAGTTTAAATGCATTATAGAAGACATGGATAAATGGGGGAATAATTTTCTGGAAAAGATAAATATGGCTTGATATTTCCTAACAAGATAGGGTTATCACCCAATAGGTGTGCAATTCAAATAACATTAAATCTAAACAGAAACAGTATTCTTGCTGCCACAGCTTTAAAACAACTTAACTCAGGTCCCTTTTGAATCATACTGCTCCCGACTTAGGAGAGCTGGAGGATCTGCCACTGTTTCTTCCCCCTTCCTGTTTCTCCACTTAACTTAGACATTATTTTCCTTTCTGAATCAAGGCTTCCATATGGTTCCTGTTTCTGTACTCTTATATAATGAGTTGATTACCCTAAATCTTTCCATCGCAACAGTCTGTACCTATAATTCGAGCTGATCTCACAACTGTAGGATAAAGAGAAAATAGTAGGGACAGTATGGATGAACATTAGCTTATCCATTCTCACTATTAGAGAAATAATTCAAAACAAGTTTTCTAATGATAAATTGATACCACCTTCTCTGTGCATCATAAGCTACTTGGGATAGTTATTCATCACTTAGTTTACTATAGCATAATAGGGCCGGTATAGTCCCACCACACAGTTAAGAATGAGAATCTAGCCACCAATGTATAGCAATGCTTTGAATTTTTCATTCAGAGTAGTAATTTGTATAATGAATAAAAGTGTAAATTACTTGTAATCTGTTTTTATAATCTATTTTAATATATATTATTTATATAATCTATTTTTAAACAGCCTTTATAAAACAGCAGATAAGAAAAACCATATTATATCTAATTCTTTGAAAATCTCTAAACACTTAAATGTTACAAAAATAAAACTTGGGATACGTCTTTATTCCACATTCTCTCTTCTTGAAAGCATTCATGGGTAATGAAATCTAGGTGGATTAAAAATAGCTATATTTTATATATGTGGTATATATATGCAATAGAATATTATTCAGCCATAAAAAAGAATGAAATCTTGTCATTTGCAACAACATGGATGGATATAGAGAGTATAATGCTAAGCGAAATAAGAGAAGTAAGTCAGAGAAAGACAAATACCATAAGATTTCACTCATATGTGGAATTTAAAAAACAAAGCAAATGAGCCAAAGAATAAAAGAATGAGAGAGAGAGAAACTAAGAAACAGACTCTGAAACTATAGAGAACAAACTGATGGTTACCAGAGGGGAGGTGGCGGGGGGACGGGTGAAATAGGCGGGGATTAAAGAGTACACTTACCATGATTAGCATTGAGTAATGTATAAAATTGTTGAATCATGTATTGTATGCCCAAAACTAATATAACACTGTACGTTAACTAACTGGAATTAAAATGTAAAATTTAATAAAAAATAAGAAAAAAATAGCTATAGTTCAGATTATGATCATAAAAAGTACCTCATAGCTTAGAAATATAGCTTTGAAAATGTAACTATTAGTCAATTTTATATACATATCATATAGAACTATATAATTATCTTCCTATATATGTTTTTATTATCAAATTATACTATTTGACATAAATGAATAATATACTGTTATCATTAGAATTTCATATTCCTGTATATTATATACTATCAGAAACACAGTAAATTATTAGCCATGGAAAAAGTATTACTTGCATATTCTTTAGATAATTTTAGCTAGTTCAGTTAAAAGTACATTTTAAGGAAGTAGTAGAACATACATGTTAGGAAAATAGTAGAAAATCTTTTTTGGGGGGTGTCTGGGTGGCTCAGTCATTAAGCGTCTGCCTTCGGCTCAGGTCATGATCCCAGGGTCCTCGGATTGAGCCCCGCATTGGGCCCCCTGCTTGGCGGGAAGCCTGCTTCTCCCTCTCCCACGCCCCCTGCTTGTGTTCCCTCTCTCGCTATATCTCTGTCAAATAAATAAAATCTTAAAAAAAAAAGAATATATATATTAAAAAAATCTTTTTTTTTAAATGGAATCCCTACTTAAAAAAGCAGACCATAGTTATTCTAAAGATTTACTACCCATTAGATGATTAAATAACCAATGACAGGGCATTTTGAGACACAATATTTTATTCTAAGAGTTGAGTGGGAAAGAAACCTATTTCTAGCAACTGACACACAGCCACCCACAATCATGACATGCTGCTATTTCTGAAAGATGAAATCTTTAAAATTAGAAAACAATTTAAAAGGATATGTTTACTGTTTACATACCTATTGGAATAGGGGAAGAAAAGGTAAGAGGAAACAATTTCTTACAAAATTAAAATCATATGCTTTACATATGATCCAGAAACCCTACTCCTAGGTAATTACTCAAGAGAAATTAAAACCAGTGTTCACACTAACACCTGTAGGAGGATGTTTATAACAGTTTCATTCACAATCACTAGAAATTAGAAGCAACCTGAATATCTTTCAGCTGGTGCATAGATAAGCCAATGTCATATAGCTATACAGTGAAACACGACTGGACAATAAAAAATGAAGGAACTATTCATATTAGCGACACCATGGATGAATCTTAAGTATGTTTTTTTAGGTGAAAGGAGCCAGTCTGGAGAAGCTACATATTGTCTGATTCCACTTGTTTGACATTCTGGAAAAAGTATAGGGATGGAGAACAGATAAATGGTTGCCAGGGTTTTGGGGAAGAGAGAGTGGTTGAATAAAATGGGTACACAAGGAAATTCTTAAGGTGATGGAACTGTTCTGCATACTACTTGAGTGGAGGGTAAATGACTCCATGCATTTATCAAAGTCCATAGAAATGGGTATCACAAATGTGAACATCAGTGTAGGCGATTACATTTTTTAAAAGATCAATCAGGATGTCGCTTTTGGCTTTCGGCCTGGGGAGGCAAAGGTGCAACTTTCTTCGGTCGTCCTGAATCCGGGTTTATCCGACACCAGCCACCTCCGCCATGCCGCCTAAGTTCGACCCCAACGAGATCAAAGTCGTGTACCTGAGGTGCACCGGTGGCGAAGTCGGTGCCACGTCTGCCCTGGCCCCGAAGATAGGCCCGCTGGTCTGTCTCCAAAAAAGGTTGGTGATGACATCGCCAAGGCAACCGGTGATTGGAAGGGTCTAAGGATTACGGTGAAACTGACCATTCAAAACAGGCCCAGATTGAAGTGGTACCTTCTGCCTCTGCCCTGATTATCAAAGCCCTCAAGGAACCACCAAGAGACAGAAAGAAGCAGAAAAACATTAAGCACGGTGGAAATATCACTTTTGATGAGATTGTCAATATTGCCCGACAGATGCGACACCGATCTTTAGCCAGAGAACTCTCTGGAACCATTAAAGAGATCCTGGGGACTGCCCAGTCTGTGGGCTGCAATGTAGATGGCTGCCACCCTCATGACATCATAGATGACATCAACAGTGGTGCGCTGGAATGCCCAGCTAGTTAACTACAAAGGAAAATGTTTCAATAAAGGATCATTTGACAACCAGTAAAAAAAAAAAAAAATCAATCAGGATGTCAAGGGATCCCAAGATGGAATGCAGACTGACAAATAAATCTTACTTTTTTGCAACTGTATGTACCTTACTGAAGGTAGTGAGGAAAAAAGTAGTTTACCTAAATAACTTTTAAAACTCTGTTTTGATTGGATACTGTAAAGCCAGAAACAAGAACTGTGCATGAACACTATTCAGTTGGCAAATTTGTTTTTATAATTTTTATAGATTTTATTTATTTGAAAGAGAGAGCAGGGGTGTGGGGGAGGGGTGGAGGGAGAAGGAGAAGCAGACTCCTTGCTGAGCAGGGAGCCCAGCGTGGGGCTCAATCCCAAGACCCTGAGATCATGACCTGAGCGGAAGGCAGATGTTTAACCGACTGAGCCACCCAGGCGCTCTGCAAATTTGTTTTTCATAGGAGTACCTATTAGCGATTCTGAAATTACTTTATATGTATTATGTATATATGTAAATTACAGATAATGAGAGCTAGGTTTATTGCTGTCAGCGAAGTAAGTTACAAATGGGCAAGAGGGTGCATATATCTTCAATAACCTGTTTTCATTTTTTTTTGTATATATACCTAGAAGGGAGATTACTAGATTGCCAGGTAGTTCTTTTTTTAGTTTTCTGAGGAACCTCTGTACTGTTCTTTGTTGTGGCTGAACCAGTTTACATTTATACCAACACTGCAGAAGGGTTCCTGTTTCTCCACATCCTTGCTAACACTTGTCTCTTGTGTTCTTGATGATCGCCGTTCTCATAGGTAGGAGATGATATCTCATTGTGGTTTCAATTTGAATTTTCCTAATGATTAGTGATGTTGAGCGCCTTTTCATGTACCTGTTGGTCACTTGGATATCTTTGGGAAAATGTCTATTTAGGTACTCTGCCCATTTTTAAATTAGATTTTTTAAATTGAACTGTAATACATCACTGCTGATACATCACTGCTTCACTGATTCTTACTGTTCTCTAAAATTATTCCTTGTACATGCACATCTGGGAATTTTTTGTCTCATTTTCTTTAAAATTTCAGTTTAATCCTCCCCCCACTAGATAGTAACAAATTGGAATAATAAATCTTTTACCTTTGTCCCTATTGTCTTTATTTGTACCTGCCATAGTGATTTTGGTGCCCCCAAAGGACACCTGAAAATACTGGAATGTTTTGAAGTTTAAATTAAAGCAACTACCAATTAGATATTAAGCCTCCTAAATAATCCTGACTCAGTTTCCCCCGTCTGACATTGATACAATAATTCAACAGTTATCCTAGAGCACTTCATTGTGTTCGTGCAGAGATGAGTAAAGAGTTGGCAAATATAAAAGACTGTCTCTGTACTTTTTATTGTATTTAGTGATACAGCCGTGACAGTAACAATCCTCACATTTCATCATCATTATTTCCTCTAGTTCCCAGCTGTTTACCTGGCTGGGAACAATTGAAATAAAAATGAGTGTTATAGCTCATCTTGGGCTTCATAATCTGTTGCTGTCTACCTCATCCAGTATATCATTCTTTAAGCTGATGATTCAAAAGAGGGTGCTACAGCGATAGATGTGAATAGTTAATGAATATTATTTAAAATACCATTTCACTATCCCCAGAGAAGCTTTTCTGAAGTATAAGACAGTCAGACTGTGATTAGAAACCCTATTTTTCTTCTCCTAGTATTTCATTCGATTCAGGTGATAATGAAAAAGGTAAAGAAATCACCCAATGAATAATATATAAAATAAATGGAATAAAAATGAAATAAGTTATACAATTTCATTTTAGGACTACAAATATATGTGATATATAGTGTAGTCATGAAACACTAAGTAGTGAAACAGAGTACATATAGTGCTATGAGTGGGTAATCGCCAAAATTCTAGCTAATATCCACAGCAGAGAGGAACAGTAAAAATTAATGAATCGGGGGCACCTGGGTGGATCAGTTGGTTAAGCGTCTGCCTTTGGCTCAGGTCATGATTCCAGGGTCCTGGGATCGAGCCCCACATCAGGCTCCCTGCTCAGCGGGAAGCCTACTTCTCCCTCCTGCTTACGCTGTTTGTGCTCTCTCTCTCTCTCTCTGTCAAATAAATAAATAAAAATCCTAAAAAAAAATGTTTAAAAATTTAATGAATCATGGTCCTTTTTATAATTCTTTCAATTAAGTATAACTTTCCACATCCTAAGTAAGAAAAATCCGTTTCTATTATATGTTCCTATAGGAGAGTTGAGTGTTGTCCTGATGTGAACACAAATACATTTCTTTTTTTTCTTTTCTTTTTTTAAAGATTTATTTATTTATTTTAGAGAGAGAGAGAAAGTGCGAGTGCATGAATGGGAGGAGGGACAGAGGGAGAGGGAGAAAGAATCTCAAGCAGACTCCCTGCTGAGCACGGTACCAGACGTGGGGCTCAGTCCCAGCACCCTAAGATCATGACCTGAGTTGAAATCAAGAGTGGGTCTCTCAACCGAATGAGCCACGCAGGTGCCCCACAAATACATTTCTATTAACTAATAGGCATTTATAACTAAAGAAGTCAAAACAGTTTTTATTTTAAGTATACAGCTAACTTTGAAATGGAAATATAAACAGGACCTTCATTATTTAATTTTCTATTATTTTCTCTAATATGTAGGCTACTAGGATTTTCAGTTATGATAAAATGTCCATGGTCAAACATACTGCTAGTGTTATGGCCTGGCATGCCAGCCAGGTGTTTTCTCTCAGCATGGTGGAAAGTGCTTGTTATCTCTACTGTGATCCCCTGTGAGTGAAGTGCCTGCTTTTCATATTATTACATTTAAAACAAGATACTCACCATTTCTACATGAACTTTATTTATTTCAAGAGTATTTAGGAAATCAACAGGTCTTATGTATGGGAATCCTAAAATGCTGGTAGTATTCTTTTTTATTTTTAACAAGAACAAATTCATACCTTTTTCTTTTCTTTTTAATTATTTTTCTTTTCTCAGACCTTGAGATTTAGAGAATAAATTAAAATATCAGTTAGCCATTTACTAAGTACCTAAGAATATGCTAGACACTGTCCAAATATTTTCATGTTACTTCATAAATCTTTACAAAAGGCCTGTGAGGCTGTCATTACTTCTATTTTACTTTTGAGGAGAATTGGGATCAGACTTGTGAAGGCCTTTGCTCAAGATCACACAGGGGGGAAGAGAGTCAAGGATGACATACAGATTTGTCTAGATACCAGAACCCCCAATTTTTTCACTGTGTCAACATGTGCTTTTTCATGTCACTTACAGCCTCTTTTGCCCAAGACACATGAGCAACCAGCAGCAACAATGGTCTTTCTATAGAATGGAATTTCTCAGAATCTCTAGTATGTTGTGAGATTTCCAGGCCTAATAAAAATTATAGCATACTTTGTTAACACAGAACACCAGGAGGAATGTAGAACACTGTGTTTCCCAGTGCATTAGACCCACATCCCAACTATAGTAACTGTAGACATGGGGCTTTATTTCCTTTATACATGGTTTCCTAGCAACATCTCATTGTAGTATTTTTTTAAAAAGATTTTATTTATTTAGTTGAGATTGAGAGAGAGAGAGAGAGAGCACAAGCAGGGGGAGTGGCAGGGAGAGGGAGAAGGAGGCTCCCCACTGAGCAGGGAGCCTGATGCAGGGCTTGATCCCAGGACCCCGGGATCACGACCTGAGCAGAAGGCAGATGCTTAACCGACTGAGCCACTCAGGCGCCCCTCACTGTAGTATTATACTTTATGTTCTTCACGAATCTCCTCTGGAAAGCAGAGAGAATACCTACCTCACAGGATGTTTGTGAAAATTACATGAAATAACCTATATAAAAGACTTAGAACAGTACCTGCCCATAGAAAGCACTCAATAGATAATATCTATTATTATTCTGTCAGAAGTTCTTATTTGACTATTACATTGGTTTATTACTCAAATCACCCTGTGTTGGAATGCCTATATCCTAGTTATCTAAAATGTTACATATCATAGAGAGTACTGTCGCTCGTCATCCTTTTTCTTCATAGATTTTATTTCTTCCTCATTTGCCTAATGCTTAATGAACTAGAGACTATTTTGTTTAACAAGCATTTTTATAAGTATTGACTATATGCCAGAGACTATCCTACGCATTTTACAAGTGGTGAATTTGTAGATAATTCTCACAAAACTCTTGGGTAGTTTTCACGGAACTCTATGGGAAAGATTCTTGGTCAGCCTTTGTTCAGGGGATCAGTCACAATAAGCATTATGGCATAAAGGGTCTATTATAGGAACTAGGTCTTACACAACTGTGGGAGGAGCTGGAGACATGAAGTTCCAGAAGAAGGAATTTAAGATCAGGGAAGTCACCTGCCAATCAATCTGAGAAGTCAGGTATGTGAGGCCACTGAGTGACACCATGAAGGAGAGCTGATGGAGAGGTCTATGTGAAGCCAGGAACTCTTTGTAGCTTCCACCTCTGTGCGTCTTCAGTCAGGTGCCTCCTGACAGACCTGAGCCTGCCATTGATCAGCAGCATTCCAAGTAGGGAAGAATTGCTGGGCAGGGGGCGAGGAAAAGCCCAGACAGGCTGGAACATACGCATCTCTGTGTCTGTCCATCCTTAAATCTAACCACCATGACTTTCAGAGCTTACCATTGCTTCTCTTCCACTCTGATCTCCGGCAAGTCTGTCATTCAACCTGAGTGATCAGAACCATACAGGGATATAATGTAATTCCCACTTTAACCAGGTTGACACAGAACAGTCCAGCATATAGGCAGGTGCTATTATTATCCTTGTTTTACAAATAAGGAAATGGGGGCACAAAGACATCAAGGTAAGTTGCTCACGTCACCCAGCTAGTGAGTGGCAGAGTCAGGTTTGGTTCCGGGCAGTCTGATTCTGATTCCAGATAGTAAGCTCTTGACTCCTGTGCCTTGCTCCCTCTGTGATAAAATAGGGTTCTATAGAAAATCTCAAAGTATTTTTTCCTTGTCTCAAGT